TAATATTTCAAAACAAACTAGAAACAGTAGGCCTGTATGTGATTTCAGACATTTTAATTTTAATCTTGGCATAATGAGCTGAAAATGTCAATGGGAAAAATTAATGTCTGGTAAAATAAACAAACTAATCCAAAATATTAAATCAGTGCAGCGTGTAAAGATGTCGATGCCGATATCCAGCATTGTAAGATAGCAGCTTTGGTTCATCTGGAGTTAAACTTCACCTCTTATATTCTTGCTGAGTGCTGCTACTTTTTGGAAAGTAAGAACTACCCCACACGTATTGTAGCAGATGTCTCATGAAGCCATATTGAAACGCAGCCTATAATAACCTTGTCGTAGCATCACTTGGATCGTCTTCAATCCAGGAATGTGTTGACACTCTTCTGATGTCCCTCATGGATTTAAATTACAGGGGCCGGGTACATTCATGTTTTTGCATGTACGATGATCTGGTTTCACGTGTTCGTTAGTCAGTTGGTGTGCGTGTTACTCCTCCTGCATTTGTCTTACTTTATTTATTGAGCCTTTCTGACGTGGTCGACAGACGAGTCGCTTAACTCGATGAACATGTCACCAAAGTGGAATGTCGTTTCAAGCAAAGGCCTTTTCTTTCTGTTTTTGAGCGATACATTTGTAATTAGACGTTATAAAAATGCGAGGATAAGTGTTACTTTTTAAATGTTAATAAAAATGAGATTTTGCACATTCTTTCATCATCTGAAAACAACATGTTGTACTGACCAAAGTCTGCCACAAGAGGGTGGAATATCGTATTTCATGCAAGAACCAGGAGGATGTGCTGGGAATGTTTCCTGGACACATGCAGATTTCCAAATTTATTATAAAAAACTTTTATTTTATTTTAGCCATTTATTTTGCTGACGTTATTTATCTGTATGATCCATATTTCAAATTAAAGTAATGTCAAACATTGACCTAAACTTCCTTGTTGCAAAATAACGTTGGCTTAAAGCTGTGCAGTCTGTTTGTTTGATATTTTTTAAGTTGAACAAATCAAACCAGAGATTCTGTATTTAGCTCTTTATTGTGAAACTTGATGTAATATTTCCTTCAACTTTCAGATGGTTTCTCAAGTCATATGCAACATCGAGAGTGAGCTGTGTGTTTAAGACTTAAACCCACACATTTTACCATAAGAATTTATTTTCATGTCAGAACATTATTAACATAAGCATATGCAATTGGTGCATGATGACTCACTTTGGTCTAATCCTTATTTCCGTCTCCACAAACATTTGATATGTGCACGAGGCGGACTGTAAGCACATACATTTACCCCTGAGCGTAGCACAGCTGCATGTCTGCTCATGCATCTGAGCAGATAATGTGACTTTATTTTTCTGGAATACTTTCTGTAAGATTAGAGTGAGTGAAACACACGCTTAAAGAACTACATGCATGTTTATGTGTACATATCATACTACACTTGAGAGGCTTGTTACTTAACCACATGAAATCCAGGCCACAGAGTTCAAAGGTTGCCATAGATTCAGCTCCTGTCCAGTTTGAGGCTGTTTGAAGTGACTGGACAGAACCTGTCACAGGAGGGGACACAGACTCAGCAGCTCATTGGCTGCTGGCTTAGAGTGGAGTTAAAAGAGGTCAGTTTGGCAAGACGAGAAACTGCATATGGCTCCGAGCGTAAGGTTTCATAATGTTGAGGGTCTTCTCTTTGCACCATTTATTCCCCGTCTGCACGATCACCATATTCACACACACACACACACACACACA